TTAAAGTTATGCAACAATAAACTGAAACACCCTGTATATGTGTGTATTTTTGGCCAAATTTCACCGAAGCTGATGTCGATACTTCGGTCGGACCTCAAGGAGTACGTGTATTAAACTTGAATGTCGTAATATTTAAAAAACAAAATTCATAATTTGCGGTGTTTAAAAACGTTTTCCCTGAAATGTGTATCATTGGAAACATTTATTGGGAATTCTTAAATCTTCTCTGTGATATCCTGTACTATCTTGACAGAGGTATTCAGAAGTTTTTTTAAAATCGAAGTTGAGTCATTTATTTTAACAGTGAGTAGATCTGATCAAAAGAAATGTTTTTTTCCTTTACCATTTTTCTGGTAAAATTAAAGTAACAAAGTTATAGCCCTTTGGAAGTTTGAGTACTGCCCTGTCTCAATAATAATATTATGTGCTCGTGTTTGGCGACAACGGATATAATTCGCCTAATCGGTTCATCGCATCGGAAACAAAAAAGCGAAAGAATTTGGAACGATGTTTTTACAATTATTTCATTCAGTTGTGTACAGTCTGTGTCAGTCGGTAGTGGATAGTGGTGTCTGTTGCGTGGCTCAAACGAAATAAAAAATGGCACATGTTTATGCGGATCGGTTTCCCAATCGAGTGCAACCAACCCCTCGTGCCTTTGTTAATGTAGTACAACGGGTTCGTGAATCATTTGACTTAAGACCTCACATATGGACGGCATGCCGGTGCTCCAAGACCTCACGATGAAATACAGGTCCGCACTGAAATACTTGTCGGGAGGATACTTTATAAAACAAGGTAAACTTTTTTTTTTATTTTTACACACATATTTTGTTTATCTTCCTTTTACAATCATTATCTGAAAATTAATGACTCAACTTCACCCTGTATATAGTGTTCGGAACTACTAAAGGAATTTGAATTTGAATTCCAAAATGACCCAAAACTTCAACTTAAGCGGCTTCATCCAAAACTCTTCAATGATCTTTTTATTTGCAACAGATCCAGTTTGAGTAGATTTAGAAATCAGGCCCAAACGATACCTATGCGTTAAATTATTTTCCCCGGATGTATTTCGTTAAACGTGACAGCAGTTTGGTGAGCACATTGATAATAGGCACCATAAATTAGAATCATTTCCACTCTTTCGGCTAATGTGTGAATCATTTTGGAAGTAAAATCAATAAATTAATTTTCAAGATTGTCACAAAAGTAACTTTCAGCAAATTAAATTCTTTCTTTCCATTAGCAACAAATAACTCAACAGGTATAACAATAAATACAGTTCGCCCAGAATATCTGTGTTGATGAAAAGAATGCGGAAAAAATTCGGGTTGTTATTTGGTTGTTGCCACGTCTAATCTGCCGAATTGTTCTTTATGTTGGTAGTTGCCATGTTGAATTATAAACGAATTCTAGATTTGGCAAACCCCAATGGGCAACGTTTTGAATACTTATTGAAATAAAATGTGATATTTTTGTGTATTTTTGTTTTCGATGTGAACAAATTAAGATTAATAAAGATTTTTCTTGGAAACGAAAAGACTGATATTCAAAAATGAAACATCAAAGTAAAGGACCTCGAAAGGCCCTTCAAACAAGCTATCACTCGATATCCCTTGTCATTTAAAATTTCCAACGGAATGACCCTGGAGGGCCGTCGGTGAAGTAGTTTTTCGTTGAAAATTTGACAAAGCTTTTGACGTGTCTCGGCCTTTCTTTAGTCAGTTGTTTTCTATAAATCCTTGGAGGAAAGTTTTCAAAGAACACCCTGTATAATTCTCCTGTCCTCCACGCCGCCCAGTTTTTTTGCACTGTCAAAATATGCGAGTCGTTTGCATTGGGTATATTGGAAATGTCTTGGAAGATAACTTACAGGCAACCCGAGATTTGCGAGGATTGTAGTATAATAACCAAACTTTTTACAGTATAGCAATTTTCCAACAGGCTGCAATTTAATTTTTATGGCCGACTGGGCAATATTCAAGGTACGCTGTCGTTTTTATTCCTTTATTGTTTTCATCCTGTTTGCATTTAGTGCTACTTGTAAAAAGTTATGACAGCCTGTTGTCGGCCTAATTTATTTCGGTCATTTGGGTAATCTCCGCCCTGGTGGGTCCATAAGCCTTTGTCAAGGTTGTAAACGTTACCAGTGTTGGGAAGGACTTTCATACTGCGATTCTCATAAAACAAATCAAGCATTTGCAAGAGAATCGCAATTGGATTATTGGTGCAGTACGGATTAAAAGGCGAGTCAATTTCGGTAAAAAGTAATCGTACACATACATGCTGTCCTTAAGAATATACGTGTGATTTAAAAAACATATCAATTTTCTTGATTAAGAATTATGGTCTTTCTTGGTATAGTAATAATGGGTGATTTTTTTGCTAGTATAATTTTGGCAACACTGTTTTTGACAGATGACGCGTGAATCGTGTCTTGTGTCATTGTCAAACTTGTTCAGTTTGGTCTATAATTTAACCATGAATCGACTTACGAACGAACAACGCTTGCAAATTATTGAATTTTACTATCAAAATTCATGCTCGGTTAAGAGAGTGCATCGAGCACTGCTTCCAATTTATGGGCAATTTGGTCGGTCTACCGAGGGAGCTATTCGGAAGCTTGTGACTAAATTTCGAACCCAGTTTACATTATTGGACATTAAACCACCAACGCGCAGGCGTAGAGTGAGGACTGAAGAAAATATTGCGGCTGTATCCGCCAGTTTTAGTGATGACCGTGAAATGTCGATTCGCCGCCGTTCGCAGCAATTGGGCCTCTGTTACTCCACTACGTGGAAAATTTTGCGACAGGATTTGGATGTAAAACCTTATAAGATACAGGTGGTGCAAGAATTGAAGCCACACGACCTCCCACAACGTTTCCAATTTGGTGAATGGGCGCTGGCAAAGTTGGAGGAAGATCCACATTTTTATCGAAAAATTGTGTTCAGCGACGAAGCTCATTTCTGGTTGAATGGGTACATTAACAAGCAAAATTGCCGCATCTGGAATGAAGACCAGCCAGAAGCATTGCAAGAGCTACCAATGCATCCCGAAAAAATCACTGTTTGGTGTGGATTATGGGCCGGTGGCATCATCGGGCCGTACTTTTTCAAAGACGACAATGGCCGGAACGTAACTGTGAATGGCGAGCGCTACTGTGCGTTGATAACAAACTTTTTCTTGCCCAAAATGGAAGAGCTGGACTTGGCTGACATGTGGTTTCAACAAAACGGTGCCACATGCCACACCGCACAAGAAACAATGGCCCTATTGAGAGGCGAGTTCGGTGAACAGTTTATCTCACGTTTGGGGCCCGTCAATTGGCCGGCTAGATCGTGTGATTTAACGCCGTTGGACTATTTCTTGTGGGGCCATGTTAAGGCTAATGTCTACAGGGATAAACCAGCAACGATTGACGCACTGGATGCCAATATTGAAGCATTTATTCGTGAGATACCGGCCGATATGTTGGAGAGAGTGTGCCAAAATTGGACCTTACGCAAGGGCCATCTAAAGCGGAGCCGCGGCCAACATTTACATGAAATAGTCTTTAAACATTAAATTATATCGACCGTTCTATCGACTCAAATAAAGATTTAATCGTTTTTTCAAATTTGTTGTGTTTTTTTTTAAATCAAATCCTATACCTCTTAAAAAATCACTAAATAGTTATAGTAAGTATAAAATATATTGTCATTGTCATTAGGAATTTTAAACATCCAAAAAGGCCACCGAGCTGACTTGAGCGTTGGTAAACATTTATTTCTAGATCTGCGAATTTAGTTACTATGATGCTGCCTCGCATTTTGCAATGATAAATGATATCAACTCAACCACTTGCGTCCCCTTGCAATATGTTTAAATCAAACATAATGTTCGCAGTACTTTCTTAAAAACCCAACACTTTTCTTTATAACATTATCTGAGAAATCATATCCTGGGGCACGTCAATAAGGAAACACTCTGTATATTATAGCATGTTATACATCTCTATATCTGAATCTGATTTTGCCTATGAGACCTAATTTTCTTCTTTTGACTGTGGTTTGTGGAATAAATAAAGAAACTGACATCAAGTGACTGAAGCGTCGCATGACAGTACTTATCAAACGCACCCTGTATCATAGCCTACAAGTTGACCAATTGCCGACCCATGTGTGAATGCTGCGTTTTTTTTTTCTCCAACACAGTATGTACTGTCAAGTTGGCGACAACGTTGGCTTCTATACGTTGGTCCCACATCTGAACGCGACATGATACTGCTGGTCAAGGCCCAAATGCAGATGTCTTAGAATTATATCGATTTGTACTCCACCAATATTCCAGCATATTCCACTATGTATCACAAAAACAGTCCTTAGTCATTATTTCAAACGTATTTTTATTTCACCTTGTTCGATGTTTGATGTGTAAGGATTTGACGTTTAATTTATTCATGATTTTATAACATGTCAGGTGTAATAGATCTGCATGTCTGCATGCTATAGCGATATGCTTGAATAAGTTGTTACTGATTACTTTGTCTCTCATGGTGTGCCTTGATCTATTTCTGTAATCATTCTATAAAATATATAAGAACGTTGACAGGTTATATCAATTTTTTATAGACCGAAGCAGTGGCGGCTCGTGGCAAAATAAAACAGGTGTTCTGCAAATCCGAACATATCTATTTTTTATATGTCAGTTCGATCCTGCGCTCCTTCTTGGCAGCAAATTTGTCGATCACCTTCCCGTTGAAATTTTCCATGGTCGAAATAAATTCCTTTTCAATGGACAGCGTCGACAACGCTGTGAGGCGATCCTGGGTCATAGTATTTCGAAGAAAGGTCTTGATTCTTTTCAATGTTGAGAAATTTCGCTCAGCCTCTGATGTTGACTTAGGAGTTGTAACAATAATTTCTAATAGCTTTTTTGTTGCTTTTAGTGTTTCCTCCAAAGTATAATGTATCAAAAATTTCAAAAGAGACAGAGTTCCATGTGAATCTCGGCAATCATTCCGTGCATAAATAACAGACAACTCTGTCTTTAAGCGGACTTTTTTCTAATTCGGAATAAGCCAAGCAGGTAGTTTCCCACTTGTCATCAGGAAACTTACCACAGTATTCTCCAAAGAGTTCGGGAAAAAAAAGGGATGCGGCTACCAAATGATCTTTGGATTGAAATCTGTCATTTGCAGAATTCGCTATATTGTCGAAAACTTCTAATGCGGCAACTCGGTGATCGTGACTACTATTATTACGTCGTCTCCTTTTGTTGCCTTGGGGTTCAGTGCAAATACTTTTGGCTTGATTTATTATGTCATCAATTTTACTTCTTACATCGACAATACATTTTTCAAAATTATCGGTAGCCGTTTTAACTTGCGCTGGCTCGGTTTTTCTCTTCTGCAACTGGTTGAATAAGATGTCGACGTGAGGCATGACATGATGAAAAAATGCCAACCAAAACACGAAAACAGGATCGTTTAACATACGACGAATACCGCAAGCTGCCTTGTAAACGGTTTCATTAGTGAAATTTTCTTCTATTCCTTCTATGCTTTCAATGAGTGATTCTCTGTTCTCAAACACTAGAATTATTGTTCGAATATTAAAATTCCAACGAGTTGTTGCTCCTTGGGGAATGTTTTTCCGTACAATTCTGTTCAGTACCTTTACGCGTTGAGGAGAACACCCGAACTTGAGCATTTGGATATATTTGTTTCATTTTTGCCTGTACTCCAGCATTATGTCCGCTCATTACCGCGGCTCCATCATAGCTTTGTGAAATCAGTTTGCTAGGGAAATTTGCTATTAATGGATCTACGACGCTCAAAATATGTCTTGTGAGAGTATTAGCGTCACATTTTTCGGGATTCATATAATTCCAAAAACGTTCTACTGGTTCGGGGTTAAATACGTATCTGAAAATTGTTACCAGTCGGGTTTTCCCCGAAATGTTCGTTGTTTCATCTGCTATTATCGCCAAATACGAGGCACTGTTAATCTGTTGTATTATTTCTTCATGAAAAACATCAAGAAAGAATCCAGTAAATCGCTTTGTATTTCCTTTAAATATTGAAGCATTTTTTATGTGTCCGCTTAAGGTTGTATCAAGCTCAGCAGAAAAATTAATCAGTCCACGAAATATTTCCTAGTTTTGGGAGCTCTCCGTTTCAAATGTTCCGCAAAATTTTATACCGAGCACCGACCGACCAATCAGATATCGTACTTCGCACTTGATCTGTAGAAATCTGTATAACCTGCATCACATGCTTATGCTTAAATCGCGCATTTGATTTTGTAGAGAAAGACAAGAGCGAGCGCGTGCGGCTTGTGTCGAAGTAGTGCACAGACTCTTTTCAAGCGGCCCATGAATAATGTTACGCTGCGGTCGTGACGAAAATGACAAGTACACAATTGGTCGATTATAATGCTTTCTCAATACAAAACAGACCCGACGCCGTATCTTGCGGGGGCAGCGTTGCCGGTATTGTTTCTATTTGTGTGATAACATGGAAAATAAATAATGATCAAAATTACTACTGTTTTTTCTGTTAAGACAAGGGTTTCGGCAGTTTTGCAGCTCTGCAGAACTTAAGGGCCAGCCGCCCCTGGACTAAAGTTATTAAAATAGCAACCTGTTAAATCTGATATGAAGCAACCTGTTAAATCTGATATGAATGAATGAAAATATCGTCCAGATATTGTAAATTCTCTATTAAAAGCTTGTTACTATTATTATGTCAGTGTTACCAATATTACCAAATTTCTATATGCTTACATTTCATTGTTTGTCGCCAAATTTGCGTAGCTTTAGTGCGGACTTTTGACTCAATGCCAACCAAGGAGACAGTGTTGTATCAACGTAATAATACTAACAATTGGAAACATCTAACTTCATTAGGCTTGTACCTCTCTTTACAAATTATGTAATAGTTTAATCATATTAGACGAAAATACCCCTTGCTGTTTGTGGAATAATTGTAAAGTCTGGTCTTATAGCTCCAAGTTGTTCAAGGACGTATTCAAAACATGGACGTATAAAATGGGCACACCAAGTCTTGTGAGAAAACTTTTTATTCGACAACAATGAATGAGAAAACGTGTTTCTTGGGATTCAATTGAAAGTGTTGGCAGGAACGAAAAAACCCTTCATATAAGATTTTTAGGTATTCATGAGACCACATGCAGAAAGATCCGACTAATAGCAAAAAAGTTATGGCCGAAAACCGAGGCAAACTGCAGGTTTTGGAACTTGTTGGTAATGGGGCGATGGTTTCTCGCATATATTTGAAATTCCTCAGATGACCACAACAAAATTGGGAGAATTTCTAATTGTGTATCCCAAAACATATGTTTTCCAGCTATCGCTACTAGCTTATTGAGCAATATACAGGGTTAGTTCAAAGGGCATTTCATAGCAAAATACACTACCTTGCCGATATGAATCTCAAACTATTTATGCAAAAAGTATGGGTTACGTTTTTTTCTTCTAAACAACTCGTATTTGTGAGTAATTTGCAACAAAAGATGATAGACATATCCAGTTAGGTTTAAAATGCATATAATAACGTATGTTTTCCGAATATCGTTGCGCATTTGTTCAATCACTCACAAATACGAAATGTTTGCATTTGTTTGAAGAAAAAACGTAACCTTTGTTTTTCGCATAAAAATAACATGTATCTTTCGGAATGGTTTGTGATTCATATCGGCAAGGTAAACACGTGTATTTTGATATTAAATGCTCTTTGAAGAAACCCTGTACATTGCTCAATAAACTAGTAGTGATGGCCGAAAAATAAGTGTTTTGGGATAAACAATTAGAAAGTCTCAAAAAACTATTTGACTAATATAATCCAATTTTCTTGTATGAATCCTACAGATTTAAAGAATTTCAAGTAGTTGCGTGAAATTGCCGTCGCATTACCAACAAGTTCTAAAACCTGCATTTTGCCTCGTTTTTCGGCCATAACATGTTTGCTATTAGTCGGATCTTTTAAGGTGTGGTCTTATTTTGTAGGTTTCATAGACACCTAAAAATCTTATATGAAAAGTTTTTTTCGTTCCAGTCAACACTTTCGATTGGGTTTTTTCATTCTTTGTTGTCGAATAAAAAGTTTTCCCACAAAAATACATCGTTTAAGTATAATTTCATCCAAAAGACTTATCAGATCTTCGCATTTTTTTAACAGAGCTCTCACATTTAACGCAGTTACCGTGTAGAACTCTATTCCAGAAAACCTGAAATCATCGTCTCTAAACAAGATTGAATATCATTTTAACGATTGCCTCCTGCATAAATAGATGTATTTTTTGTGTATATACTTGACGATTTAATTCCAAATTTAAATATATTCACAAAATCTTGTTGAGTGTTATACTTTTTTGATATTTGGATCAAATGGAAAAATGAGTACATGAGCTAAGCTCTTCGCCCTTCGATAATGTAACCATTATAAATAAAAGCGATTGTTATATATGAGAGAAGATTATAGAAAGACTTACTTTGATCATAGTTAGTGATAGATTGTCATTTCCATGCAGGGTCATTTTTAGGTCATATTTGTACACATTTTACGTCTATTCGTACTGTGGTTCAGATGCAAGGACATACCGGGGTGGAGGGGGGCAATGGGGGCAGCTAAAAAAACTTTTTCCAAAACAATTATATTTCTCCATAAGCTGAATCAGTATCTGTTAGATGAGAATTTACTAAAATTAGGTGAAACCTATGTTGTTTTAAATTAACCTCGCTTTTGGGATTTCGGTAACGGTAAAGCGAATGCCACACGATCAGTATCAGCTTAAGCAAAATGTTAATTACCACAAATGCCTTAACTTTTGGCTACTATTTCATATTTCATGGTTTTCACAATCTTTGGATCCTTCAGAGAAACTCTTGACTATGTCTTAAAATATACCAACAAAGTTTAACTTATTTCTGAATCTTGTCACCGTTAAGAAAATTTTTGAAGGCGCTCAAAAGAAACCAAAAAAAAAAAGATAAAGGCATGTTTGAAGGAATTATAGATTTTTGGTCATAATACTGGTACTATTAGACAGGCATAATTTCTTCAAAATCCATTGGTACTGTTCAAGTTGTAAAAGGACCAATGATTACATTAGTTTCTTTTTGACGCTTATTCTATCGCAACGGGACCGATTAACAAAAATTATAAATATTTTTAAAAAAGCTTCTCTATCTGCAAAAAATTTTATATCTGAATATTGTTCTTCCATTTGAAGTCTTTTGCGATTACAGTACTTCCCTATTGACATGACTGACTGTTTGAATTAAAAAAAAAAAATAGTTAAGTATATAAAATTTGCGGTATAGCGAACATTTGTCATATATCATCTCAAGTGTTGCTTCCTAGTGTCGCAAACGTCTAAAATATCACTTAAAAGAGCATCACATGCAAAATTTTTGAATGTATCAAAAAAGTAATCCTAGCCAAATTATCGTGGAAGACTCTCTCCAATGCTTTTTTTGCCATATAAAAATTATTTTTGAGTTCCCCGTTCAATTTAAAACAAACGATCTCTTCTGAATTGTTTTCCTTCGATGCGCCATGAAAAAATAAAAACCGTTCTATTGTCCGAGAAAATTAATGTAATAATTGAAGAATACAATTTAGCAATAAATATCTAGTTGCCCTGGAACATGTCACTGGCTTTTGACATCTGACAAGTCTCTGTTATTCAAATCTGTTCGCTGTGTCATCTTTTTCATCATTTAGTTTTTACAATCTTGTTAATAATGTTGAATTATTCAAATGCAGAAATGGCGGAAATTACGTACGAGTATATGGCCTTGCCGACGGTAATGGTGAGCAAGCCAGACGGATTTATCACCAGAGATACTCCGATCGTGCTTTGCCAGATAGTCGAACCTTTTCTAGCGTTCATCGGCGTTTTGTTAAAACTGGTTCTGTCCGAAAAGCAACATCTGAAGGAAGATCTCTAAGTGTGAGAACACCTGAATTTGAGGAAGCAGTGCTGCACGAAGTCGAAGAACATCCTGAAACGAGTACGAGGGACATCGCTAGACACTTAAATATTTGCCATCAAATTGTTTGGAGAATTTAGTGGATTTTTTATTATATCCTTACCATATTTGAGGAGCACAGGCATTACTTCTCGTTGATTTTCCAAGGCGTGTCACCCATTTCCAACACCAATTTTCGGTTAACTTATGGGCAGGAATTATTGGCAATCACTTTATTGCCCTATTTTTCTTGCCGGAACAACTTGACGGACAGATTTACCCCAATTTTCTTCAACAACAGTTGTCTGTGCTGCTTGATGATGTTCCGTTAGTAATAAGAAACAATATGTGGTACATTCATGATGGTGCACCAGCGCATTTCAGTGTATCGGTTCGTAATTAGTTACAAACTGTTTATCCAAATCGTTGGATTGGCCGCGGTGGGCCC